TATGAATTTTTTACGAACTTTTTTAACTAATTTCCTATGTTAAATAGAAGCGATTCGTGGAGGGAAATGTCTTGCCTTAATTGCTTTAAAATCTCGCCATTTTCGTGTCGATTTTTCCAAAACTATCAGTAACGCATTCGACCGCGTTGGCAGACTACCTCGAAATACTCTCGACTATCTTATATAGAAAAAACTTCCGTACCCCCGAAATTGTCGAGAGAGCTAATTTCGATTTAAAATGTACGAATAACATTTAATGCACTTTCGGTTCAAGGCAGCTTGAGATGCTATACAGAAATTTTCAGATATAACAGCGCGCGCGTCCTCCTGTCTCTGCACGTGATTGCTAAAACTTATTAATCACTAATCTACGATTTCTTACATGCAGGAAACTTTCAGGGGTAAATATATAAGCTCAATTATAATTCGGGAGAGCCCAAATAGCTGGAGTTTTGTCTTCGTAACATCATACGCGAATAGCTTTGATGTTCTTAACTGAATTTAAGACAGTTACTGTATGGCCAAATTATAAGTGCCTGCATTATTGTATTACAACAACAATTTATATGTTGCAAAGTATACCAGACCAGGCCACAGAGAAGTTCGACCCAAATTGAACCGAACTTTCTGGCCCGCAATTTTCATTTCCAAATAGTTCATTTAACAGTTATTCATGTCCACTTTCAGATTTACCCGTGGTTGTAATTGACCTTAACAAACGGTTAAGCCTCTCAAAAACTACATCTAAGCTATTCAATTGTTAGTATACTGCTTAATGGGTTTATCTACTCTGTGGTCTGTGATTTCGGTATCAGTAATCGACAATTTATTAAGTTTTGTATACACAGGATTCCTCTGTTCACCGTAAAAGTTAATTCTTACATTGAGGCAAGACCGGGTTTGGAAGAATGGCATCGACTTGAGAAATATTGTTTAATTGGAAAGAAAAATTACTTATGTCATCAGGTGCGTATGTTGCCCGAAAACGGGAACTATTAGATCTACATACAGTCAACTAAATTATTCTTTTATAAAGAAGTACTTGAACGGTCGAAGGGAAGTAACCGTACATTCTGTTTTTTTTTTCATACCTCTTGTACACTACTTTGTCGTCATTAATGTCGAAGTCGAAAATGGATACCACATTCGTCAAAGCATGCCAGATAAACTGCTTCAATTAAAGTCTTAGAGTAACCCGGAGGTTTTGAAATTTGATACAAAGACTTTTAAGATCCGCTTTAGCATTAAGGATTTTTTGTATTGAAAACCATGCTAATTATTTAAATGTAGACCATTACGAAATATAGCAGGGCACTTTTGCCCCTATAATAAAGGTCCCGCTAATTTACTTGAACAGAATTTGTGTTAGGTTGTCCAGAGAGTTGTTGCAGTTTTGTTGCTCAAAATTTGATTCATTGTTGTCAAATAATATTGCTTTTGCCTTTATGTCCATGTTATGTCCCACCTTAAAGCGCAGACTTTTCTCAGACTCTACATTTTGACAACGGTAACTGTGTTTTAAAAGTCAATTTCTTCTTTACTTATACTGTTTAATTAAAAAACAGAATAAAAGGAAAATTGGAGGAATTCCTTGCACGAGTTAAAAGTGGCTTTAAAAGAACTCTCGCAAAATCAACGATGCATTTCATCCAAGAATCGATAACTAACGCAGAGTGCACTTGGGGTTCAAATATTTCGTGGCGGAAACAATAACCTTAAAGCTTAACAGTGTCTGGACGCTCTGTGGCCATTAACGACCACCATTTAAAGGTGTTATTATGTTTAAATGAATTGTTATGAAAATCTTGAGTACAACGGAGACATTAAGAAAAATAGCCTATTTTGCAAATACAGCATCAAATCGTGAACAGCAAAGACGGCAATCTCGACAACCTAACAAGATAGAAATGCGTAAAAGTACATTATTGCAAAGAAGATATGAGTAAACATGTACTAAATGTAAGAGTTCCGGCCATGCCCCAATGTTAAGAGGGAACCTCAAACAAAAACGAAACGCGAAACGACTAAAAGAGGAGAAAGTGTGAGTTCCACAGTCCCGGACCACCCAAATCGCCTCATGTCCTATCATTAAATACAATTACTATCGATTAATGCACTAAAGCCTTCAAGTCACTTGTAACTATCTTATTTATTCTAATTGGCATCGAAAATGTTCGCATAATTCGTAACTACATTATAATAGATTACTTTACTATTACAGTTCCCAGACCTGTCGGTTGCACAGGAACCAAAATGAGACGGACCGACGACTGATGAGTCGTTAAAGCCAGATTAAAAGTTGCGAAAAATTGCATTTAGCATAAACCATTCCCACATGAAAATTGCACAGTTCCTACGTAAATCAAGTAACTATTTAAAAAGAACGCTTAGCAACTAAATATTACATTAAACAATTTTTAAACAATGTTTGCACGATAATTCTTCATCGTATGTCCTCGTGTTACTGCGCGTATCCGTAACATCGAATCATATCCCTCAGCGCCTTTAACTTATATTTACATTGTTCCTTTTATAGATTTTAATATCATAGTAGAATCTCTATAGTCATACTAATTGTGGCAATAGTTACATCAACAATAGTCGATGAATTTATTATTATTATTATTGTTATTTTATTGTTATTATTATTAGCAGTGGTAGTAGTAGTAGTAGTAATATTATTATTATTAGTAGTAGTAGTAGTAGTAGTAGTAGTAGTAGTAGTAGTAGTAGTAGTAGTAGTAGTAGTAGTAGTAGTAGTAGTAGTAGTAGTAGTAGTAGTAGTTGTGGTAGTAGTAGTAGTAGTAGTAGTAGCAGCAGCAGTAGTGTTAATAATAGTAGTATTATAGATGTGATAGAATTTGTAATAACAATACTAGTAGCAGCAAAAGCAACGATGGTGGTGGTAGCAGTAAAGCAGTTGTATTAGTAGTAGCAGTAGTAGTTGTAGTAGTAGTAGTAGTAGAAGCAGTAGTACTAATAGTAGTAGTAGTAATAGTAATAGTAGTGGTAGTGGTGGTGGTGGTGGTGGTGGTGGTGGTAGTGATGGTAGTAGTAGTAGTAGTAGCAGTAGTAGTAGTCATGGTGGTAGTAATAATAATAGTAGTAGTAGTAGCAGTAATAGTAGTAGCAATAGTAATAGTAGTGGTGGTGGTAGTAATAATAATAATAGATAGTAGTAGTAGTAGTAGTAGTAGTAGTAGTAGTAGTAGTAGTAGTAGTAGTAGTAGTAGTAGTAGTAGTAGTAGTAGTAGTAGTAGTAGATGTAGTAGTAGTAGTAGTGGTAGTAGTAGTAGTAGTAGTAGTAGTAGTAGTAGTAGTAGTCGTAGCAGTAATAATAGTGATCGTAGCGGTAATAGTAATAGGTATGGTATTAGAGTAATAGAAGTACTAGCAGTTACGGTATCGATGGTAGGAATAATAGTGTACTGTACACGTGCGACCTCGCTTGTCTAGGAGATTAATTATACGTTTTCCAACATTCGCTTACACTGTACGTCTCCATTTAGAGTATGACACTGCGGATGTAAATAGTAACTAGTAACTTCCTTTATCGCACCGTTGAGTTATAACTAAGTAGCGAAATGTGCACACGCGTAACGAAACTCTTTCCTTTCTTTCAGCTTTCCGTAGATCTCATGTTCCCCGGGACAATCGTGAGAACAGAAGTTTCGAAAAGAAATTACAGTTCTGCCTCGTCGATCGACTCATTCGTGCCTCTATCGTTGGTACTTTATAAACTAGTTTTCTACTACAGACGTTGCCTTAAAACGATCGAGTTTGCTTTCGTTTTCTGTCCCCTTTACGTAATAAGAAATGTATAGCTTGAACATTCTTAGCACGATTCGCCGCGATACAATGAATGCGTTTTTGTGCACGGAAGTTCGGTCGCACGCTTACCGAGGAAACGTCAAAGCGTTTTTTAAACGTTTGAAATGGTAATAAAATATATTCTTTCTCCACTTAACGTAGCAACCATGGAAGAAGCTCTATTCTGCAAGGGCAAACTGTGGAGAAGTAACCGCAACGCACTTCCGTTAAAGTAAGTCCATTCATTCCAATCGCTCTCACGTGTTCAAGTGTATATATTTAATAATCAACTTTTTTTAGTTAATTCCGAAAGATCAATTTTTTCGATCACACGCGACGAAACGATTCATTTAATGACACACATTGCAAGATGAGGACGTATTGCTCGAAGTTGGCTCACTTCCCCTAATAAAATGGCCTACAAATGTTCGTTATTGTATCGTTATAAATTCACGTGATAACTGTACTAATGTACAAATTGAGCGTTCACTTTCTCTGTAAATAGATACTCGTATAGTATACACTGTGCGTTCTGCTGTCATTTAGTCAGTACTGGTGGCAACAACGTGTCTCCATTTACTTACATATAACGGAATAAAAATATATAGCACTCGTGATTAGTTTTTAATGCACTCGATAAATTAGGCGTTTTCGGTCCAACTGAAAATACAATTGGCAACAACAACATAGGAGATCGGCAAGTGTACGAACACAGTCAAGGAAAAGAAAAACTATTATGTCGATTATTTTAGTCGTTGTTAGTTTATAAATCAAAAGTGATTCTACCTAACGACTGCGGTACTCGAGAAAAGCCTATTAAACCAAACATGAAATAGGAAATTGTATATTCATATCTATCGCCCGTAAAAAATTCATCATCACAATTACTTATTGTTCCGCGGCTCATTACATTGGATTTCATTTCGTCGTTTGCTTTTTGACTGGGGAAAACAGTAGAATTCTTTTCACTTATTGCTCGCCGTATTCAGTGGTGAGAGAATATTTACACTTGCACATACAGACCTGAAAGAAAAGAAAAGAAAAGAAATGAAAACTCGAGAATTCCTAATTCCCTATTTCATCGACAAGTATTAGGTGTATCAATCGACAGGTGAAAACCTCTTATTATAGGGGTGCAGAAGGAACAAACGGAAAGCTAATTCTGTGTTTGCGTAGTAACGCGCTGATACTTTTTTTTTTTCTCACGTCACCCTCGAAGGGATCCAACGGGCCAGGCGACATTTTTTCCGCCACTAAGAGCCACGAGGAAGCACTCTTAGACAGGCAGGACAATCTTTGGTATTTCTTTAACATGTCCAAGTTTTCTTTTTCTTCTTTCACTCCATCTTAACGCACTTTAGTGCATGCGTTTATAATATTCACATAGCGCGGTTCGACGTGCTCGTCGTAATCTCTTTTTAAATCCTGTCCGCGTTTACACTTATCCGTTCGTTCGTGGCTGCCTTATCATCCAATTAACGATGCATAATAATCCGTGTTCATCGGTAATCGTTACTTCGTTTCTATCTAGCAGCCTTTGATGACTAGTCCGTACTAGTCAGCACTAGTATTAGCCCTAGTCTGAGCATTAGGCATTCATTAGGGAAAATCGCTAACTAATAATTAGGGTGGGATCACTTCATCGAATGAGCATCTACTCGCAGTCCCTTTATCGACCGATAAAGTTCCGGAAGAATATGATCTACCAACCACCACGATTTGGCCGCTCGTGGATAATAATTCATCAACGACGTACGTACGTGGGAACGCGTCTTTGTACGGTCAGCCCTTTCGGTGCTTCTCTTACGTATCGACAACAGCGATATATAGTAGTTAAGTTATCAAACAATAGTCGGAACGAGCGCTTCTATCCGCTGTAGTTGCAAGCCGAACTCGTGGATCGTTCCAGTAAGTGTATAGCGTCGATCTAAATATAACCTCGGTACTTTATTACCTTGCTAAAATGAAATGTATCAAAATAGTGATAATCTAAAGGCACCAATTTTGTAACAACAATTACAAAGAAAAGACAATCTACAGCTGGGAACGATCGATTACGGTCCGAGTCGAGACCAGAATCGAAACACGGTGGCAAAGCGAACCTCTCGTATTCGTTAACGTCCATTGCTCGTGTTATCACCAAATTAAAATGAAGGGGCGAGCCAACGAAAGGAAAAACAGGTGGATGGTGATACGTCCTTACCTACATTAGCCTAAAATGGAACGAGAAACCTTAGGCTAAAACGCGCACTGCTAACACCCAGATTTCCAAGTCGTCAAGGTACTTGCTTAAGCGTAATATAAGTAAGGACTTGGGTAGACAGGAGCTCGATGAACGAACGAGTCTTGAAGGACTCAACGTAGGATAAAGATATGGCTTCCAGGGTCACGGCGGAGACTTCGGTCTTCCTGTCTTATCTTGCATCACTTGCTGTTGTTGCTGCTGTTGCTGTTGGTGCTGTTGGTGATGATGGTGATGATGAGATGCGTGATCCGTGTTTACGCCAAGCTCTGTCCCTATTATTCCTCCGTTTCCGCTCTTGTCGACAACGTTGCTCGGGTGAACCGGGTGGAAATATCGTTCTGAAAAGTAGATACTCCGTTCGAATACTTCTACAGGATGAATCTCAGGAAAGGTCCAAAATCGGTAGAACTTTGCCAATGGGGAGATATGCCCTTTTGTCCAATTAGGCGAGCTATGGTATATATGGTATATATATGAGCTATGGTATACATGGTATATATATCAGGAGGGACGAGGGGAGCAATCCCGATCACAAATTCAACAATGATCTCTATACCAGAGTGCTAACTGCTAGTAACCCAGGTGACAGAGTACGCGATATTCTCGATAGAATCTGCGTATTAATTAATTCGACGATCGACTGGATCCGGATCCTACAAATCCCGGATTTAGGAGGGTGGCGAAGACCTGGTAGACGCTATCACCGTGTTAACCAGGATCCTATTCTTGCATTTTACATTTCTCGGTAAAACGCTAAACCGTTCGGATAGGTGCTCACCTTCGTCCATAGCGGAGGGCGGTTCACTCGTAGTCCCTGCGATGATTGGAGCAATCATGTTGTAGTCATCTTCGAGATTAATGAAGGGTGCAGTATTCCAACGGGGCGGGACATTCGGAACCGATCTCTGCGTAGCTACTGGCCTCGTCACCGAAACCGGTGACGAAAAGAGAGAAAGATTCGTCGGAGAGATCACCCCCGACATGGAGCCGATGGTGGGGTATGTGAAGATTTGCTGTTGTACCAAGACATTTGACCATCTTAATTTCCTTCCTATTTAGATTATTATCTTACTACTGCTAGATCTGAATATGTGTCCGATGTCGACAAAAGTCGAACTGGAAAAATTCAATAATCCCCCCCGCTTTTCCCCAGCTCGCTGTTCATATCACCTTAACACGTTGACTACCACGCGCATTTTATTTAACTGATATGTCACCCGATTGTGGGGCACGTGGCAGTCCACGTGGTAAGACAAAATCGACCCATCGTAAAATCGAACTGACCTGTCCAGGCTGCGAGTGGAAGTGAGCGAACGTGTACTCCCTGCTGGTGTGGGGCGCCGTGACAAGTATCCTCGCAGGACTCTTCCTGCCGGAAGGATCGACCGAAGTCTGACACGCGAGGCCCACGGCAGCAGCGGCAGCAGCCATTTGATCCTGGTTGGGCCCAAGTTCCGAAGGGTCGTTTGGCGAGGTCGAGGATGTAGGCGGTGAATTCGCCCCCGTCGATCTGATGATGGCCACCGGCCTCGCCATCGGTGCTGGGGGCGGAGGAGGCAACATCGAGCTCGGGTAATACTGTGAGAACTTTTGAACACCGGTGCGCGGTCCCGCGAGCTGCGCCTGGAAATTGATCATCGATCGATTACCGCGGGATCCACCCAGGATCGGCATATAATTCGCTTAAACCTTTACGCTTCGCGCTAATGCAAAAGGAAACTCGATAGAATTCCACCCCGAGTACAGGAACGAAAAAGTGGAGGAGTCGATCCATTAACGGCGCTCATCCCTCCAGGGATTTTTCAGGGCCTCGCCGGGCCAACGATTTCTTAAGGTGAAGTGAAACCCCCTTCAAATCAGTCGGTTCGAATACAACACTTTTTTTTTAATTGTCTATTACGTGCCACGTTACTCTATACTTCTCAAGGGAGGAAAGTAGTCACTTTCCCCTACTATTCACTATTCTAGATACCCCACATTTTAACCAAGCAATAGGCTTCTAGGAGACGTCGGAATTCGTCGGTACAACTCTTAAACGAGGATTAACTTTTGACCGAGGTTAGTGGAACCGGTCATAAGGGATATAAATATTATTTTATAGAGTAGCTGCGGAACCTTTCTTCCAAATGCTATTGCACGTATACCTAATTCTTGATATACTTTAGAATTCACTTAAAAGCTCCGCGTTGCACGGAGGTATAAATAAGGTATCACTTAATCCGATGTGATCGGTTAATTTCTTAACTTAAACTGATACGTTAGCGTCTTCTTTCTACTTTTATTCCGATATTTTCTACTTTGGCAGTCTTTAACCAAGCAGTAGCTGTCCATTTTTTTTTTTAATTAATCGCGAATCTATTTCGCTGTATATTTAAATTATAATTATTAGGGGGTATTCGAAATTCTTAGCTCTTGGTCCACGATGGTGCCGATATCCTGTCAACCTGGGTGAAGTTGGCAACTAGCGGTCCGTACTTTTATAGTCAAAGAACATTGGAAACGTCATACGAGTCAAAGCTTCCTCCTCGCATCTGTCACGTGAGGTACTTTTTGTAACCATCCAGGGAATGTTTCATTCGAATTGACGTATTAAATTGAGAAATCGTGAAGTCCAGGGGCACAACCTCGGCAGAGGGTACAAAGATTTATCAAAAAGCACAAGTACAGAAGTGCGAGAAAGGTGTTGCGCGAAGTGCGCATGCCCAACGGTACATAAAAATAACTTTCCTTTCCCACTCAAGAATTTGCCATTTTGCGTACGCGGTGCATGCGTTAAAAATCAAACATTCCGTGCATATGGTACAAAATCACCTTCTTGGTGTGAATGTTGGGTATTGGAACCAGTCTTGACGGTTGACTAGGTTCAATCCATATGCTCCTCTGCTTATGCCCGGTTCCACCGCCCTCGGTCAAAAAGCTAATCCTCGGTTACAACGAGTCGTACGTTCCACCACATTTTAACGACAGGTTAATTTCCATTAACCGCCGTTTAGATTAACCAGCCAAATTCGATCTTTTAGCTTCGGTTAATTGAACTTCGACCTAAAAACTGCACAAACGTGAGGAAAACATAGATTAGATTAAGTATGTATTAACATCTTTTTATGACGAATCGGACGATGGCGTTTTTGATTCTATTTACAATTTCTTAATGATCGAAGTACGTTTGAAAATATTTTATATTAATTCTTAATCGAAGAACTTTACTTCTTGAGGCAAGGTGTATACGATGTATACGATTAGTTAATCACGCTCTGAATAAATGTGGTGGAACATTTACGTTTTTAACCCATGATTAACTTGGACGTTAACTTTAACCAATGGTTAGGTAATCGATGATTTAACCGAGATTGGTGGAATCGGGCATTAGGGTTGCCGTCTCTTTTAATTTATCAATGGTTGTGCTTTTGTACAAAAAATTCTACCTTTTGCTCAACGTTACTAAAAACTTTTCTCGAGTTAGTTTCGACAGCACCGATAGATGGCGAGGCTTTCTCGCAAATGATGCGGAACGTTTGTTTGCATATAAAACATCCCAGCGTCAGAGATGGCGACATCTTCATCCCTACCTGACGCTAATACATGCGAAAATACCGACAAGTCGAGAATAATCATTTTAATAAACGCCAGTAATTACAGAAAAACATTTCTTGAAAAAGATTTAATGATTACCGGAACTGTTCATAATAGTTAATCATCCTATCTAGGCATGTGAAATATACGATGATATATCAGTTATGTTAACAATAACGAAGTGAAATTTTTACTATATAAATAGTATAAAGTTTAGTTATTTTTCCTAGAATAGAGTCGTAAACGTAAAATAATTAATTTTACTGCTCCCAATAGGTAAAAAGTATATATAAATATATAGCAACCGCTCCTAGATTTCCTAGTTCGGAAAAAAAGTTAAGTTTACTATAAAAAGCATCCGAGTAGTTTTGGAACAATGAAAACTGATTAAAAAATAGTTAATTCGACTAGATTTTTCTGTCATGGTGTACTGCCCGATACACAATGCACTTGGGAAATTATCGTGTCCAGTATTGTCTAGAATGTTATATCAGTTGGCGATGCATGAATAGAAAAATATTCAAATGGAAGATAGAATTACGATACGATATAAGGGCATCACAGTAGTCTGTACACATTGAATAACGACAGGTCGAAAAGAATAAATGACGCGAGGACGAAAGCGGTAAGTCCCGCGGCAATGTGGTCGCTACCAAGTCAAGATCTAATGAACATCAGTTTTCGTATAGGGAGGATTAAGTCAACAGTTAAGACTTTTTACTGGTTACGGGACGTACTAAAATTTGAAGGCAGCGACTGCACCTTGGCGGACTTGACGAATCCGACAACTACCTGAGGCAATTGCTGAGTGTTCTCGGCCTCCTGGCAGACGAACGTCACGAAATCTGAGAGGGTGTCGTGTCCGTTCTCAGGATACTTAACTACCCCCGTGGAACCAGGGTGCTCGGGTTGGTAATACGCGAGGCTGGATAGACCCTGACCGGAACCTCCGGCCAGGCCCTCATGCGGCGAATGTAACCCTGAAACATGTTTCAAATTCGTCATCATTGATATCACATTCCGCGACCAGCCTAAACCACCCCCTTAAGAGAAACTAAATTAACGAGATAGAAAAAAAAAAAGAAGAAGAAGAAGAACGATGGACAACCCCCTGATCTATATACCAATTGGATAGCGGATATCTATTTCTTCTATACTGATAGGGCTTCGACGAATTCAAGGCACCCCTAAACAGCGCCACTAAATAAGTAACTGGTGCGCATGTGCAAAAGCTTTGAACCACCGATCCGTCAATCGTGGCAAGAGCAAACGTTTAATTGTCAATTCGATATGTCACGCCATTTTGTAAGGTATCAGCTATCCAGCTAGTATAAAGGATCAGTGGGACAACCGAATAGTGACGAAGTCAGGAGGACACGGTCCATTTCGGAATCTTATTTATCGGAGACCAGGCGAAGGAGTGACAGCGAACATATGATACTTTTAAGACAAGTAATCGGATGTGTTGTAACGAAATTTTTCTGCACTGTGGTTTACAACTCGTCAGACAAAATAGCAGTTTTACCTGATATCAATGTCATCACTAATTGTATCGTATTCTCTGGACCTAAGGACGTTGAATTTACCCGATTTAAAATATATCTTCCTGCAAAATTTCTTGGGTAAGGAATTCTTTCGAATGGAAACTGTGAATTACGGTCAAACCTTGAGTTATGAAGCGTTTAATTTTTTTTAGTCCCTCGTGAGAAGTTTTCGGTAGGGTAAAACTTGGGTAAAACAAGTGCGGGAAAGTTAGAGCATAAATATAACAGGGGGTGGTTACGGTGGTACGAACTTGACAAACTATGGTGGCGAATATATTAAATATGTAACGATGCACTCCAAGCGTGAGGCTGGCTGGTTGAAATGTATATTTATATGTACAGCGGGAGTCTTACGGAAGGTACAAAATTGAAAGGACTTAACCGATGCGAAGACGTGCTTATTCGAACAATGAGACGAATTGTCATACGGATGGGGATGGGGAAGGAATGCTCGATCACAAATTCGACAGTCTGTCACGATACATCCCAGGCAGCTCATTGACGTCAATATGACGTCATAGTCTCGTCAAAACGTATGCCATAAAGCCCGTTACCATGACGTCCTGACGAAGTCAAACTGACGTTACCATGTCAGAGTCCAAAGATGTCAAAGCATTATGTCAACATGACTGATCGAGAGCGACCAAATGATGACTACAATGGGGAATAATAATTATTCAATGTTAGGTCCATATCCTTTATCATCTACATATCGCCAAGTATTATGATCCATAATTAATAACTAAATCAAATAAAACGAGAACAGAAATATAAAATAGAAAAGTATTCAGATGTTGCTTTTATTATTTTTCAGCGTTCCATGACTTAAAGAAATATTTCCATATCCACATATTTACATATTTGGGCTTTACATATGTACAAGAATGGAAGCAAACTTAATTGACCGAAGTTGAATGGAAACGGTATTTTTCAAGCTTAAGTAGAAATGAACGAAAATTAAATATATATAATCACAAATACGTGGATAAAAGGAGACTCCAAGACGTTCTAGTGACCTCATAAAATGTAATGTCGTCATGACGTCATATTTTGAACACGTGACGTCGCGCACAAATAGTTAAAAAAACGTCATTGCGACGACACTAAGCTATCTGGGGAGCACTACTGACTGTAATTTGCAATTCATTAAAGAATGGGCAGGATTTCGCAATAACCGAGTCCCACCGATTTCAGACCTTTCATAAGACTCTCCCCATACATATACGTATACAAATACATGTACGTGTATGCATATGTTTGTGTACGTGCGCGTGCATGTGCGCGCGCGCGTGCGTAGGACATGTACGCAAACGCGAAGGCACACTCGCATACATATATACATCTTTCACGTATATGGTGGACTTACATAGAATATTTGTCCGTACATACACGTGTGTATGTATACTCGAATTTACGTATACGGTGCAACGACAAACATCGAACAGCAAATGTAAACAACGATTAAACAACACATCAAAAACATCAAAATAACAACATCAACATCAACAATGATTAATAGTGAACAACAACACCAACATCGCAACAACAATAGAAGAGGTAATAGTACACGTTACGGAGCATAAACGGTCAATCAAGGTTAGGAAATCAATTAATCAATTAATTTAATTAATCCATCCAGCATACGACATACCCAGAGCATTGGCCATGTACAGTGAGTGAGGTAGATACTTAGTCATAAGTGTGCACGTTGCACAGCTTCGAATCAGTCGTCTTTACGTTATCTTTGCAAACTTTCACGTTTATGATAAAATGAGGAAAACATGAACACCAGGAAGATATCACAAATCCGATGACGGTTGAAATGTGTTTAATGCTTGAAATCTGTACGTCATTAGGGTTTCATCTAATTAATGTTACTTAAGGTGAAGCGAAACACGCTGAGAAATTTCATCGACGTCGATAAAGAAGATTTTTGGTAAATGTTACGTTTAGGGGACCCATGGTACGATGGCTTTGACATATATTGTTTATTGTTATAAGACTCGCGTACGACGCCATTTTGGTTCTGGTCTTGGCTGAGTAACAAATTTTGTTTCGAGAATTCAAATTTTCAAAGTGTTAGGATAATTTTTAGGTGCTCGCGATTGATGTGTCAAGGTTTGAGACAGTCGATCCAATATCTTTATAAAGATGTGTCTTATTCGAATCGACTTGTTTGGGGGTTTCGCTTCACCTTAAATATTGTTTGTACACCTGATTGAATGTTAATACATCGTATGTATTAATTATTGAGAATTTGATCGCATCGATCTACTCTGGCGAAAGTGTCAAAAAGCTGATCGAAACTTCAGAAATGTAATTTGTATTTCGGGATTATTGATCCTTAGATTGGGTAGACATTTGTTGCCAAAGTAACGAGAGTCTAATTGTTATGTGCGGTTCTGAGAGTCAGTCTTCAAGTGTACAAAGTTGACACCTAGACAAATCATCGTGCATCGAGGGGTAAGAGAGAAAATTTAACTCTGAATTTGAGTAAACGTACTTTTGTTCGAAAGATCTGTTCCCACTTCCGGAAAATGTGAAATATTGCTGGGAAAACGTAGAATATTTAATGACATTGAAAGTTTACTTTATATGTGTTTAAAAGTTTCAAATGCCGCGTCAAATTATTCCTTCATGTTAATGAGGTATTCTTATACTTTATTTATTATTACTGGAAAAAGTTACGATACTCAGTGACAACGTTCAAACGTTAGAACTTTTCTTTAAACATGTATAGATTTCGCTAGTGCTTTCTTCGTTGTCCAACTTTTTTTTATTCATTTAATTTTTCTTACCGAACCCTGTATTTTAAAATATAATATTGAGATACAACAAAGTTGAAGGTAATACTTTATATCAGCTTTTTCACCACTTTTGCCAGCGGATCTTCCAATGAAATGTATTTCGCTAGAAGAATACTTCCAGTCTCGGAGAGTATTTCATATGGAATGAGTCGAAGCTGTGTTTCATTCTTCAATGAAAAATACGCGAACAGGTGGGTGTAACACGGTAGGCAGACAGACAGACAGATATAGACAGATAGACGCTGGGACAGACAGATAGCGACAATTAGCTTACCGGGTAAACGATTGTGCGAACGATTAAATGGGCCCAAAGGGCGCCATCCATCCGTCTGTCTGTCGGTTCCCTAAACCCACGTTATACTATTTTTTTCTTTTGGATCGTGTTTGGTTGTCCAGAAAGTAATTTGCCATTTTTCCTCATCAAGATGATCCATTCTACATATATAAAACGTCGATATATCTATAAAACTATTCTCAAAATTGAGTGCACTGAATTATTCGGAACTCGAGCACGTGATTATAGGAACCCCAATGAAGAACGTGATGCTCGTGAAATTTAATTTTTCGAACAAAACTTTTTTTTATCTATCTCAAACGACATATACCAAGAATACATATTTTTTTTAATGAAATTTCATGAGTACCACGTTGTACTTTAGACCCCTCATAATCACGCGCGGAAGTTTTAAATGATTCGGTGCCCTCGGTTTGGAGAAAAGTTGTATATATATTTTGACGTTTTGATACTTATAGAATTGCCTTTTTATGACATCTTAAGAAGTGATGCTTTGTTTTCAAATAAAGTGGTTTTACCTTTATGCTTGGGTCGTGTACCATTTTAAGGTGCAGATTACATTTTCTACATTTTGATAACAGTGATTGTGTTTTATAGATTAATTTCTGTTGTGCATGGACTATTTCATTGAAAACGGGAAAGAATCAATTTCGGGCGGTTTTATTGTTCCAGTTAAAAATAGGCCTCAAGACAGCTATAGTGGCTCACAATATCAACAATGTATTTAGCCCAAGAATCGTTAACTAATGCAGAAGGCAGTCTGGCTGCAACAGTTCCGCGACTGAGATGAGAGCCTTGAAGTTCTGGACAACCATTTTCACAATGAAAAAAGCGATTAATATTTAAAACACATTTATGGTCATCAAAATGTAGACCGAAGTCTGCTCTTTAAAATGGCACATAATATGGACATAAAGTATAATGCAACTTTCTTTGAAAACAAAGCATCAAACGTCAAGGTGATGTGAAAGTAGCTCCAAAGAGGTCTCGTTCATGAAACTTTTAACCGAACTGGGTCCAGTGAATCGTTTCAAACATTACTATGTAAACATAAAAATGTGTTTATAGATATTTAAAAAATTCTTTATAAAAATTGAAATTCCATAGGAGTCAGGACCTTTGTTATAGCCTCCGTGTTCACGTAGTAAAGTTTGAATTTGCGGTACCCCCATTTCGGAGAGAATTTTCAGAAACGATGGACCCCTCGGATACCACTTTCACATTTCCTTAAACAACGAAAAGCGCAATAACTTTCTGGACAACCTAACACTTCTACGCCATCTTATACAGGCTATCGCCACTGAAAAGTTTGATGATTCCTTGACAGGGGAATC